TTTGATGTTGTTATTTCTACATTCCACTTTTCAAAACTGACCACAGTAGATAGGTTCATACCAAGCAGAGGTGATTTTCTCCAGTAGCCATCTCTTACTTCAATGTAGTCATACCAGCAGAGGCTGCTCTTATAGAGGTCCATTGTTGTAAAGTTTAAAACAATCTGGAGATAAGTGCAAAGGAGATAAGTATGATATCCCATTAACATGGTTTGTAGCATGACTAAAAAGAAAAATTCAAAGCTTTTCTTACCAGCATACTAGCTTTAAAGCAGAATAAGACTATTTCTAAAATAATCTTGGAAATCTTAGCCTCTGAACAGGCTCTGAAACACACGCATATGGGGCACGTATGTGTTTATGACAGATGGAAAGAGGGAGGACAGGTGGGTGAGAAAAGGGGAGAGGAGGAGAGAGATCTAAAACTGCCCTTAAAGACATAACAGAAGGAGGGGACTGTTAATTTTCTGACAAAAAAATGTAATAAAGATTTTGAACTTTTATTTTGTTAGTCCTGAGGAACGTAACAGATTGCATCTATTTCATGGCACATATTTTAGATAGTGACATTAGCACTTCTTCAACAGAATCTCACCTGCATATTCATATAATATACATTTATACGAAATGCATTAACTGGATCCTGGTCATTTCAGTAGCGAGACAGATGCTGCTAGAGATTTCATCACTCTTATAATAGAGGAAAAAAAATAGTGTCTGATTTCTTGCATCCTACAAAGCAGTCAGCTCAAGCAGAGGTCAATCTCCATAGCCATTTCTGAGATAAGAACCATTTGTTATTACCATGTTTATTCTAAGACAATTGATATGTCTGTGATTTCCTGCAGGGCAGGGGAAGGAATCTTGGAAATGTAGGAAGGAGATAAAAGCTTTTTATTGATTTTTTAAAAGTAAGATTTAATATTGTGGCTTCAATTGGCCTATTATACAAGTACAAACTTACTGTGATTATAACTATATCAGAGGTGGCCAATCATTCTGCGGGCAGTGTCTGCCTAAAGCATTCCAATAAGACAAGAGTATTGATTATTTTGAATGGTACCATTTTACCCTAAGATGGAACATATCTTATTATAAGCAATTGCTTTAAAATGATTATTTGCTACTGTGTAGTGAATGAAATTTTATACTGCAATGCTATACCTCCTCTGGCAGCCACTTTGGCATATCTCCTCTGTATCTGTATGGGACTCTAGAATTTCTCTACTTATGATAAGGAAATACAACACTGATATTTGAACAATGCACTTAAATGATTACTTACTGGTTTTCAGCTGCACATAATTTGCATACAGTACACTATGAAAATCAGATTGTATTGAAGTTCTGGAAACATTTTTGTAATTTTATATTAGAGCTTTATAAGCACCCAAAATATATCAAGATATAAAATAGTTCGCAGTGTTCTAATGAAATACATAGCTTTGATACTTTAGTTTGTTAAAATTTGTGTATTCCTAGAAGAAAAGATAACCAACATGGTTAGTTAGTTCATTTATTTCTAAAATCATACTGATGAATTTCTGGAACTGACTTTTCTCTTGCCTATATTTTATATAACAGTTGTTTTATCTCGTTGATACTGCTTTTTTTTTTAAACTGGGGAAGTAGAAACAGTAATTATGGGAGAGCTCTGCGACCAAATTTCACCGTCTTGTGTTACTGTTATGATAATGAGTAGGAGCAGCATTAGCAAATATTATTACACTAAATTCTACTAATACTTCTGTGTGATTATCAAAATGAGATTTTGAGTGTATATTTTCAAATATTTGTTTTAGTTAAGAAATGTACTAAGTAACATGATGCTCATATATTCTCTGCCTTATACATACTTTTAACACTTTGCCTAAGTTTTGTTTGTTTTGTCATATAGTGCATGAGCCAAATGATGGCTTAGGAGCCAGAGAGGTGAACTCTGCCTTCAGATTTCTACAGTTAACTAAACATTGGTTGTTACGTTCAACTGTTAGTGTTATTGGCTAGGGCACTAGTAAACATCTGGATTTTTCTGCCCTTTGATCATGACCGTTGGGACTGGTATGATCTATTTATAAGGTTTTGGGTTTAAAACTGGGACCCAAATAGTTAACATACAAAATGGTTACAGTGCAGTTGAACTGACGCAAATGGTAGTCTAGCATCCCAGCTGTGTGTACAACTGCCAACTACTTCCACAACTGAATAAAGAATTAGGCATGCTCCAGCCCACCCATTAAAACCGATGGACTAAAGCATTCTCAGCACTGTTGGACTATTACCTTCTGTTTTTTTCTGAAGACAAAAAAAAAAAAATGGTACATTAGCAAAATGTTATTTTCATTTGCTCATATGCTATAAACTGTAGGAATTCTGACTCATACTTATTTTTATTATAGGCATGAAATATGTAATGATGATTTGCTTAATCAAAGTAAATGACACACTTCATAATAGAATTCTAAGTATAGAATTATTTTCAAAACTCAATTTCTAGTGATTGCTTCCCCAAAATGCAAGGACACTTGCACAACAGACTCAATTATTTGAACTAAAAGAAAGAAGTTATGGAATTCAGCTTTGTTCTTTCATTCTTTATCCTTCTAAGAAGGCACAAGACAGGATGAAAAACTATGTTACATTTCTTTCCCTTATGTTATGAAATGAGGCTAGTCAGCACAGTAGCATGGTCATTCAGTACAGGGAAGATAAAAAAAAAAAACTTTAAATCATGGAAGATATAGTATACTGGACATGGGATCTCACAACAGAACCAAAATCTTTCAAAACTGGAAGTTATGGTAACACAACAGCTAAACATGACATTACTTGAGTTCTTGAATAACCATAAAATTATTTTAACATCTGTTCTGCAACTCAGCAGACACAGAAGAACTGGAGACAAGACAGACAAAAAGTTCAAGAGGACTGGATGGTTACAAATCTCCAGAGATAAACAACCAACGGATACTTGTCAGCATAATTGAAAAATTAGTGGTTATGTAAACAAATTCACTAGTAGCAATGCTGCCTGATGCAGAATAAGGTGTTACACATTTTCACAGCTCAACAGGAATGCAACGGGATAACTCAAATAGGTTTGAGGATTTAACAAAAGTGAACAGCAACTAATTAAGTGCAATCCTTTCATCAAATGAGCAATTTTCAAATAGCCCTATCTATCAAAGAAATACTGTAAGTAACAACCCTTGATCTGGGAACTAAAAGCCTTCACAGCTATAGCCCTGACAGTGGGTAACAGAACAGATGGTCAGGATAATTCTTGGAGTCTGAAAACATACTTCATTTTCCCCCATATTAAAGTGTTGAAGCATACTTCTCACTTGAACATTTTATAAAAAATCAGAAATTTCTAAAATAAAAAACAAAAATCAGAACACTTCACTTGCAGACTAGAAAACTGATTCTTCTTCATCCGTATGTAATCTACAAAAAAGTAGGATAATTTGCTTTTGACTCTCCATCAGTGTGCACTTGCAGCGACATAACTAAAATCTATGAGGCTAGTATGGTAGTATTTTTTTCTAAATGCAATACTCATTTTCACATGAAGTTTCAGACATAAATGGATCTGCAATACTAACAACAGCTGAAATAAAAGCAATGATGACATAGTTCAAAGGCTTTATCTGATTGGAGGTTCTAGCAGGGGAGCGCAGCTATCGTATACCCTTGACCGAAGATCGGTACACTCCTTCTATCTGGGATGGTCGTCCCCTTCCACCAAGCGCGCAGCTTTGGGAGGGACGCACATGGAGTGGTGAGGGAGGAAGGGGACCCCCGCCTAGCCAGCCAGATCAGCCGAATCAACCCTGGCGATCAATGGGGTGACAGATGTCGCAGCCAGATCGCCCTCACATCCGCTTTATCTGATTAACCCACTCTTAACGAAACTCAAGGCCTCAAAGTGGTGCTTCAGTTTGAATGTTTTAAAACTAATAAGACAAACACAAAATAGCAAGAATGTTATCTGTCTCAGGAAGCAAAGTTGGAAATCAGAGCAAAGTACCTTCTCTCCAGGAGTCACTGAAATTCTCCATATACAATGTGTGTATGAAGGGTAACCGTTTGGAAAACCTGGAGAGGAAAAATTGCCTGTGGACTCTTGCAGTGTTTCACCACATGCTGAAAGACATTAGATAACAGAGAAATTGTGAGCTCTCTGGCGGGTGCTAAGCAAGCCTGCTTCTTCTTCCTAGGATTCCCCAGAGGCAAAAGGAGAAATGCTTGTACTTAAATGACAACCGTTTACACAAAGCCATAATTCCAAAACAGTCTGCCATGAGTAAATACCTTTCTAGATAGATTTCTTTAAATCAAAATTACAGCAGGCTTTAAAATAACTCTGCTCTGTCAACCAGGCAAGGATACCTTCTTTTTTCACTGCAATATTATACGGAGAAAACAAAGCAATTGCTATGATGCAGGAAATCAACTGCTATTTTCATTTAATAACTATTTAGTCTAGGATATATGCTAGCTGAGTATTTATTCATACTATATTTGTCATGGCAATAATGTAATATAGCAAAGCATTTATATGTTAGTCATGACAGGGGTTTCAAGCAGAACTGGAAAAGGTTATTGTAGCAGTTTCAAGGCTAACAAATTTGTTATTGCTCAAGTTTTCATGAACCACAATCCACTTCATCAGATGAATGAAACTTTCTGATACGGTATTTCTTTCTCAGCACATGTATACAATCATTCTTGAGCAGGACAACAGAATTGCAGGACAGGCAATTACTGATACAAAAGAGTCTTTAATAAAACTTGCTGGAATATTAACACAGACATTATTTATTCACAGAGAAATGTGAAAAAGAAAGTTCACTGCATTTTTTAAAAAGTGTATGATAAGATGAAGAGACATTTTATATAAAAATCTATATGAAGGTAGGTAACTGAATGCAATAAGAGCAGTATTTGAAGGGAGTAAAGCATGCATCAGGATAAATGGAATGCTTGTTAAATTTTTCAACATTGATCAGGGAGTAAGACACAGATGTGTTATGTCCCTCTGGCTGTTTAATCTACTTGACATTAAATGTGTAAGGAATGGTGTGACCTTAGAATCATAAAAGGGAGATCCAGAAGAGCCAGCAAGGCCATAGTACCCCTTCCAGAATCTGGTAAGGTTATCCACCAAAATGATCACAGTAATTTTAGTACCCTATCCAGGCCAAAATCTCAACAAATGAATCTAATAGAAGTTTTACCAGTAACTGTTTTGGTACGATAGCAGAATTTTTAGGTTGCAGAGGCCAACATTTCTGTCATCTTAATTTTAAAAATTATGCTGAAACCTGAAAAGGTCAGCAACTGGCCCTCCCTCTTTCCCCTGCCATGGTCATTATGCAACCTTCCACCTTGCTGGTGATATGTTTGCTGACATGCTGTTGTCTGTGCAACACTCTCACCCATTTTCATTTGTATCTCTTAACATCAAGCTGTGCCAAACTCCTCCCCACATTGCCCTCTCCAAGAGCCCATTCCTACATAAATGCTAAAAGAAGGGTGCCCAGCAGAGCAAGCAATAGATTGAAGACTAGCAGGCTCAGGAAACTGATGCAATCCTGAGTAATCTGGTTCTGCCAGGAGCACATGGTCCAAGATTTGCTCCTATGAAGCAGCAGCTCCCTACACACAGGGAGCTAGCCTTATGGTGCAGCACGCTTTCCCTCTCCTTTGCCATCTATCTGGGCATGCATTAGTCTTCTTTGAAGCCACTACTTACATGGGAGGGTGCTAGTCCTTGTAATAGTATAATGCTCAGTGTTACCTCTTTCATTTTACAGCTATATTGACAATTATATATTGTTACCTTATTTCCTGTTTTACTAATCCCTTATAATACTTTGTTTCAGCAGCGCTGCAGGAATATATTCATTTTTCTCTTATGTGGCAATTTTTTTTCTTTATTCTCACCCCACCCCCATGGATATAATGGGACAGCAATGTCAGCTGGTGTATTTCCTGGAGCTTGTGCTGGGCTCGAGGGGGAAACGAGGGGTGCCCAACACCTTGGAATACCCATTCCCCACTTCCTATTATACAGGAGTGTCACAGGGTATGGAACCCAAAAGTGGAGCTTCAATCACACCCTTTCCTTTTTTATCATACTCTGCAGACACTCCTGCTAATAGGCAACTTCTTAATTATATTTATGGGCTTCAATCAACAAGTTGCTTCTTCTGCTGATTTGAATGTCTGCTGAATGTCTCGCATTTGAAACAATTACTTTGTGACCCAGAGCCACGGCTTTTCCTTATCACAGTGCAGTAGGCAGGTCACAGGTATAATTAAAGCCAAATTAATTATAAGAGATTTTTCAAAGCCTTTAGCTGTAGCAGAAAAAAGATCAGCTATTGGGTTAAGATAAGACTGGCAATATTGCTCTCTGGTTAATGTTGTATTATTAACTCCATGCCAAATATATTTTATAATGCATTATTATAAAGATTTTTAGGGTTCATTTTAAAAATGCAAGGGAAGTGTCTGTAATGCCATATGAAAATGTCCACAAGCTCAGATTATCATTCTTCCACATCTGCAGGAAAAGAATAATTGACTTAGCCTAAAATATTTTCTTTTCCACCAAGCATGCATCACATGACATCTAATCAAATATGAGTTGCATATTAAATAATTTATTCAGCACCAGACATTTCAGAGTAAATACCATAGCTAATTATTGACAGTTTATTTTTAACTCTGCAATCATTAGTAATTCCACTAAACTGCAGAGGTTGGTATCTTGGGTTTCTTGATGCTGACTGCTATAAAATTAAATCTGTGTTGAACTTTGTTTCTAGTTTGAAAGACTTCTTAGGGAAGGAAATGGAACAAAACCAACAGAATAACAAACAAGAAAACCATTGAAAGACAACCAGCAATGTTACCAAAACTCATCTGTAAGTCATTTGCAATATGAATTTACCAGTCTGAAATGCTCACCCACAGTAGATTTAAAAGTTATTTTCCTCAGATTTTTTTTTACATTGTGGCATGTAATCTGGAAGCCCAAAACAGGTTGGCAATACATGGAATGTTGGAAGAGGTAGTATCATTCAAGTGACAGAGAAAAGTGTCATGTACAGCAGAGCAAGAAGATACCTCCATAGAGAGCAAGAGAAGGTAAAAGGAGGCATGTAGAAGTGGCATCTTTAGAGCTACAGTCTTCAAAATTCACTTGTTACCTGGAGACAAGGTCCACTAGAGTCAATAGGAGGGTGGAAAACCATAGATTCTCCTCCCTCCCTCATCTTTTGCCATATCCACAATACAGGCCTTTGTATTGTAGTTGTTCTCAGCTGAAATCACTTACCCCCACCAGCGGAATTGCTGTGTTAAGTTTTAACCTGAGCTGAGAATTTAATTTTTAGTTCATCATTTTTCATTTGAAAGTGCACTGTCTCTCTTCCACAGTGGGAATAACTGCATGAGAAATACCAAACTCCCTGCAGCCTACTTAATTACTTTTTCCCACACCTCCCTACAGATTTGAGGGTGGGGAGAATTATGCTTATTTTTTTTCAAACCTCAATTATGAACTTATTAAAGATGTTGTAATGTAATATGAATGAAGGTTGTTTTAATGTATGATTGAGATGGAGGATTAGTTTATTCCTAATCCATTCAATTTCATCTTTTAAAACATAGCTAAGTTATGAAAACTTAAAACAGTAAAAGACTTATATACTTAGTTTGGATGTTATAGAAACCATTGGGATTTTTTTCCCCTCTGAATGAAGAAAGATCTGTAAGTTTCAAGCCTACATGTTCCTTATCCCTTCACCTCTTTCATGTGCGAAAGGATCAAAAGTATCGGCCTTTAAACAAATTATAGTGTCTATGAAGTCCTAGCTCAGGGATCTTTGATTCATTTAAAATATTGTGACTGTGAATAAGCAAAAGTCTAATCATAAAATTGGATGATGAATAATTATTAAAATATCTAACCAATGCTTCCAGGGAAGACGGCCAACTGAAGATGGCTCTGCAAAAAAGCGGAGCCAATGTTTGCAGACTTTTTTAAGGAGCCACTTAGCAAATTGGCTCCTTTGATCCTCTCTGGAAAAAATGAGAGAGACGCAAGATCTCCCAAACTGTTTCTCCTTACAGTTGTTCCTCTTCCTTACCAAGAAAGTGGTCTCGGGGGGGGGGGGGGGGTGGAGACAGGGGAATTTGCCATAATTGATCTAGCCACAAACAGAGCCTTTCAAAGGACACTAAGTTCTCACTTGCTAACTCTTTTTGGAAATGCTTACTAACTGCTTCGATGAAGTTAGACACCTTCAAAGGGACAGCAAGGCTGAAAACACCCAGTGAGTGAGTATCTTCAAAGCTTAATACAAGAAAATGAAGATTTATTTTTATAACTTTTAAGAATTTAAACAAGACAAAGTTTTGGCTACAGAAAGTTTTAAAAGACTAAGGGCTCAGAAAATGGTTGACTTTTGAATATTAAGTCTTTGAAATTATTTTTAAAGAATAAATGCATGTTTGTGGGAAATAAATTATCATGGTGCTTGGAGATATCTTTGAGGAACTCCACGGAGGACTGAGACGAGACTTTAAATTAATTTTGGTGGCTATGTTGTGTCTTTCTGGAAACAATCTGTCTCCAGAACAAGATGTTATAGAACAAGATATACAACAAATTCCACTTGAGAACAATATGAATGAAACTTTGGATAAGAACCTACCATCAGATACAAAGAGAAAAGTGTATGAGGTTTTAAAAATTAAGAAGGAAATAAAAAAGATGATCCGAGAGAGTAATGGGAATAATTCTTTTTTGTTAGATTTACAAAACAGGATGTTTAAAGTATAGAAGAAATTTGTAATAAGGATCAACTACTGCTGGAATGGATTACAGAGAGAGATAGTTCTGTATTTAAAAAAAAAAGGAATACAAAGTCAGTTTATTTGACCAGGGTTAAAATGGGACATGCTGTTATTCTGGGTGGTTCTTTTTGGATTTACTGATATTTTGACTATAAAAATGCGGTATACTGGATTTGCTTAGTTGGTGTTTAATTTTTTTTTAATTTTATACCTACTTTCTGTACTGTAATTGTTTAGTAGCTAAATGCTTAGCATCTAATTATGTGAAATATTTTTAGGAAAACTATTTTTGTTACGTTAAATTTTAGTCTTGTTTTATATTGGATGCTGGGATTACTTTATATTGTGAATAGTTTAGAGTTGAGCTATGGAATATTTATTTGAATGGGATATGCTATTATTTGCGGTGGTTATCTCTGGAATGGTTGGCATTTGGAATGGGTTGCATATTGGAGCTTTTTTTTTTTTTTAAGGAGAAATGGTCTCTCTCTGTTAGGTTTTAGGGTTAGTTTGTTTATACGAGGATATTGGGACTTTTTATGCCTTTTCAATGGGGTTTTGCTTACAGCTAAGAGCTGAGACATGGAAAGTTGAGTTTTATATTTGTTAGTTTTAATATTTTAGAGCTCTGTTTGGACTTTTGCTGACAACTGGATAAGAAGATGTTACTTGTTTTGTTGATTACTAAGAGACGGGTTATGGGATGAAGAATTTTGTATTTGTTAATTAAGAGGGGTGAAGAAATTATGAACTTGTTTATACTTATTGTGATGAGGGTGGGAAGTCATGTTCTTCAAAGGGGAATTTTTTGCATTATTTTTTTCTTTTCTTTTCTTTTTCTTTGCATTATCTTTTATTGTTCCTTCCAAAAATCTTAATAAATGTATTGAAAAAAATAAAATATCTAACTAGCATTAGAAAGACCATCATTTTAAATCCTTAAAAAGTCATTAGATACAATTAGGTTGACCACTTAAACTCTCAACCCAACCTACTTAAATAAATAAATTATCAAGTTGAATTGTTTATTTTGTAAACTGAAATAGCTTATCATTTTTTAATACATGCATGCATATAAACATTGTGACTTCCTTAATAACATACTAGTTGAACACCACTTGGATTTCCTATGATGCCTTCTAAATATAATTTTTTCAGCATGTTTTGTGTTTTTGATACAGTTCTATCATAATATGGCTTGTGAAGCATTTAGAATAATATGCAAGGGGTATAATCAGTGGAACTAAGATATTGGGGAGACACGTAGATGGACACACTTGCAAACACACAGTGCGTGTGTTGGGAATAGGGCGAACAGCTCCTTTAACTTCCCTCCCTAACTGGCATCCATTAGAAAAAGCTTAGCTTCAAAACAAGTACTGCATAAGTGATGCCTTGCACCGTTCAGATAGGACTTATAGGCAGGAAAGGAAATTAATATATGGAGACAGAGGAATTCTGACCAATTGCATAGTTTAGAAAGTGCAGTAGGGTAAGATGCTACCGAGCTTTCAGAGCCACAAGAAGCATTTTTTTCTGTAAGAGCCAAAGAACCAAGTTTCAAGGCTTTCAACAGCTGGATTTCTTGTCCAAATGTTGCACTTATTTTAAGACTCATTATGTCTTAAAAAAAAAAAAAAAAGCCTAGGACAATTGTTTTGCAGAGCAGCTAGATTTCCCTGCTGCAGTATGTTAAACAAATGCATCATCAGTCTAAATATAGATCTGGATTTAAAGTACACTACCTTAAATAAGAAATGATAGAATGAATCATGTTTTTCCCACTGTCATCTCCAGCAAGTGAACAGCTACATTAGGAAAGCACAGAACTGCCTCTTGAGATGGTAAACTCAGATTCAAGCCACTGATCCCTTAATGCCTTAAGAATGTTTATGATCTCACCTTAAGTAACTGCCTGAATAGAAGCAGATAAGAAAACACCTTATTCAGAATTATAGTTAGTCCTCATTAACTATTTTATAATATGCTTCTTCATGCTTATGCTTTACGGTTCAATACCTGGACATCTGTACAGCTTTCTAGCTTGTGCAATATCTCCTTTACTTAATCGTGTGCGCTGACCAATGGCTGGTCGGATCCCATTATCATCTCGGGAAGGAAGTATGGTATCTAGAAACATACCCCTAAAAGTAATTAAGAAACCAAGAAAACCAACTTATTTTTCATATCAAACTAGTTTTGAACTTATACAAAATACCCTTCAGCACGTACATTGCAGTCTAGCAGGTAATATGAAGATCAGTAACAAAAAGCAGCCAGTGAAATGGAAAAGTCAACAATTATAATTACATGCTTATTTGATTTGTCTCGCTTCTTATTGACATTCACACAATAGGTGAAGAAACTGTTCTGCTCAAGGCCTTGTTCCTGCAGCACATCATCTTGATCTTGCCCAATTATTTTAATTATACTTATTTAACTGAATATTAGGAACAAAAAAATCCACAATACAATTATTGGCTCTCATACTGCTCATTAGTTCATTAAAATCTGCTTCAAAGGCCTTCATCTGCTTTTTCAAAACCTCAGTATATATTTTGTGTGTAATCATTTTCACAGCTTTTGATGTGTGTGAGATTAATGCATTGTTCTATTTAAACTTTCATTACAGTGACACACATACTTTATATATGCTTAAATATTTATATAAAATAACAGCACATCTTAGGGCCATAATCAGAAAAGTCTTTTAGAACCTTAATCAAAAGAGGCAGTCTTTCGAATTGCAGCAAACTGGTTATTGTAAAATGTTTATAATAATTAAAACCAATCAATGTGCAAGAGCCTATCCAAGGGACTGAAGGAACCAAAAGCATGTCTCTACTTAGGAAAAAAAAAATTAAGATTAAATATAATAGCGTGCAAAATATTTGCATGCATAAATAAGACTGGACTGCTATCGTCTTCTAATTAGACATACTGTTTTCTAAATAAATCATTTTAAATGGACAAATTATGTGACCTTCAGAACTGAAAAGATGTATTATCTTCATAGTACAAGTTTTTGATCATATAGTAGCTGGAACATTATACATTGTTCCTATTATTGGCACAGTGATACTTTTTTCCTGTAGAATAGTTTTTAAAAATACTAAGCACGGCTTTTAAAATCTCTTTTCTAGCATTCTAAGAAACCATTCTTCAGTTTGTTACTTCCGTAGTCAAGTCAGGCTTCAATGGTTCTGAAGGCAATGTCTATAAGCTAAAAATGTTAACATAGGGCATTCCTCTGTCATTTCTCAGGATGGGCGAGTGTTCTGGAACAGTGTTTTGGGAAAAAATAGAGAACAAAACTGTACATAATTTAAAAAACTTCCTTAAAACAATAATCAAAGAAAATATTTATGAAAAACTTAAATAAAGCCACAGAACACATTTTGGCTTCTAGTAGCTCTTCACCCAAGAGGTGCAACATCACAAAGCAATTCTGACAACTGCCTACATCAGAACAACATACACAGAATATTCACATTGAAGAATAGAATTATAAGACAAAAGGTATAACCTGAGACTCCAACCTTGAGAAGGTGTTCCTGGCATAGTGCATAATGCTATCAAAATCATATGGTTCTCCCAGAGAATTCACTTCTCCAGGCTCCATCTTCAAAAAGTTGTACTCCTGACCTGTAATTCATAAATAAGATTTCATGTATATTTTTCAGAAGGAAGAAAGGAAAAAAAGGTCCATAACTCATTTTTTTGTATGCAAATTAAATTTAACATTATAATATAATCTGGGGTAGATATAAACAATTTCCTTGCGAAGACTAACACAGAATTCATTGATTAGGATATATGTGCACAGTTAACAGCAGCTTTCTAAATTTTCCTTTAAACAGCATTTACAATGTACCCATTTGGTTATGAACTGAATTACTGATGGAACAATTGTTTGAAATGTCATCTTGGTATGCAGCATATGAAGATAACTATTATTTCCTCTCTGACTTGATTATTTCACACTTATTTTTTATTTCCCACCATGCATTGTGGAAACATAAAAACATTGGTACTGCTTTGGCAATTTGACAACATACATTATTAATTAACAGTACAACATAGATCTCAAAAAGCTAAGCAAAGTAAAATTTGATTAGTACATAGATGGGAAACCCACCAGAAAACCTCAGGTCTATAGGCTAGACTGGAGAAAAAAAATATCCCTGAAGATGGTTAATGACAAACTACATATACTTAGCTTTTTTATTGTCTCTTTTGAATGGTTTGTAAATGTGGTTTATCTCTGTATCTACTGATGGCTGATTTGTTTGAATGCCAAGCTTCCAGGAATTCCCTAGCATTTTTGGATTTAGCTTGATCTAGGATGCTCAGTTTTGTTTGAATGCCAAGCTTCCAGGAATTCCCTAGCATTTTTGGATTTAGCTTGATCTAGGATGCTCAGTTTTGTTTGAATGCCAAGCTTCCAGGAATTCCCTAGCATTTTTGGATTTAGCTTGATCTAGGATGCTCAGTTTCCTAGCTGAAACTATGGTTGAGTCTTCTGACTGCTAGCTGGTGTTCATGGATGCACTCTGCTAGTCTTCTGCCTGTCTGTCCTACATAGTGGCTGTTACAGTCCTTACACTGTATGTTGTGGATGACTCCTGCTTTTTTTCCTTTGCTACTGGATCTTTTGGTTTACTTAAGATGTTTTGGAGGGTTTTAGTTGGTTTGTGTGCTATGGTGATGCCATATAGTTGTAACAGTCTGTTGGCTGTTTCTGAGATGTTTTGATGCATTTGATGAAACTGAGGGATAATTGCATTCTACTTTCCATATTAGTTTCAGAAGTGTAAATTATGACAATTCATATTCAAATGTAAAGCAAATAAATTTCTCCTTTATCTCTAGATTGTGTAAAGCTTATATTAGTCCCTGGATATATAAGTGACTGGACAGAGTTAAAAAATTGATCCTCCTGACAAGACAGATTCTGTTACTGTAACCTTACAATAAAGGTAGTGGAAGTACTCATGGTTTGGGCTTCTTGTCTGGACTACTTTGGAGGGCTGACAGTTATAAACCTATTATGCCAATTCTACATTAGGTGTATGAGATTCCAATCTGTCCAAAATTCAGCTACAGGCATTGGTTCTTACTGATAAAACATTAAATAGTATTGTAATAATAACCTCTTTGTATATGAACTTGTCTGTTACTTCAGATCTTTGAGACATAGAAATGCCTTTCTACCAAGGGTAATGCTGTTGGGAAAGCAGTAAGATATTTTCTACAGCAGCATTACAACTATAAAACTACCTCCCTGAGGAGATTAGATTAATACCAGAAAATAAACAATACATTTCTACTTCATACAGCATTGGGTGGTTTGAAGAACTAATAGGTGAGTCAATTTTTCAGAAAGTTTTACCGCTCTACTTTTAATCTTTATTTTTTAAAAAATGTATTCATATTTATGTTATAAAAATAAGCAAAGTATGTCTTCAATTTACATCCTTCACAACCTGGACAACCTGAATAAAAGGCCTATAGAATACTTCTGCTAGTAGAAGACATGGGGGGTGGGGGTGGAGACAGGAAGGGAAGGGAGGAGAGAGAGAATAAGATTTTCACCTACTTCCACACTGTTGCAAAGATTCTATTATTTTCTGGAGCAAAGTTTCAAAGTTATGCCTAGAGTCACATAAAAGTTAGATGGGCAGCTATATAAATCAAATAAATAAATAAATTTTCAATTTGCATAGAAAAAGTAAGAAAGTTCGCAACTAATTAAAATAATACCTCACCTATTTCATAAGCAGAATTAATTATAACTTTAATCTACAGGATTTAATGCCTATATCCAAATCAATCTCTTACAAAATTAAACAGACCAATTTTCAGTTATCAAAACATTAGATCAATAATTAGATGCTCTGGTCCCACACAGCACATCAGGTGCCTTCTAGATGTTGCAGAACTGCAATTCTCAGAAAGCTCAATCCTGATGGCAGCTTTGATCTATGACATCAGCCTAAAATATCTGGGATACCACCCTAAAATTATCTCACCTGGCTGAATGTTCTCTCTGATGATGGTGACGTGATCATCTCTGTCTGGTCTTGTGTGTTCATGCCAAAATCCTATTACGTGTCCCAACTCATGCACAACAATTCCAAATTTATCACAATTCTTGCCAATAGAGATTGCTTGAGGACCATTGCCCCTTCGGCCTACATAAGAGCAGCATCTGTAATTTAGGGTAAGAAAAGAAGTGAAATTAGTTAAATGTACATTTCCAAGAAGGAGCTGTAAACTGTATTTTATGTTTTTATTTTCTATTTTATTTTAGGTTTTGTTTTTAATAAATATTTTATTAAATATATTTATAATATACATATAATATACCATATATGTATATTAATAA